CACGTCGGGAGGCGGTTGGTCAAACTGATCGGACCATTGACCACGGCGGCACCAAACTTTGGCCCCAGCTCTTCCACCCGCCCATCGTCGGCGTAGGCCCATGCGCCTGAGGGAGTCCTCCACGGCGGCCGCGGGCTGCAGCTCGAGGAACTTCGCACACTTGTGAAGCAACTGTCGCGGCCCTCCCAGTTCCGCTTGCACGCGCAGGACCCGCACCCGATGAAGGCATCATCCTGCTTGGGCATGCGCGGCTCGAGACTTGCTCCTCGCGAAGCACGGCGGGTGTGCGCGCGTACGGTAGGACTGCACGGCAGGGAGGGAAGCGTACAGGGCGGACTGCGCGCAAGACCTGGCGACTGGCCGACGACTAGCGCATCCACTTTCTTCCGCTGGGAAACCAAAAACTTAAGCCAAAATGGATACGACAGGAGAAGAAGAAGAAGAAGAAAAAAGAGGAAGAATAATAAGAAGAAGCAGAAGAACAAGAAGAGGACGACGACGAATACGACAACGACGATGACGACGACAACGAAAGTGGGAGAATGGGAAGGCAAGGGGAGGAGGAGGACGAGGAGGAGGAGTGGGAAAGGGGAGGGGAAGGAGGAGGAGGAGGAAGAGGAGCAGGAGGAGCAGGAGGAAAGGGTACCGACTGGCTCTTCTTCGATCTTCCTTGGACCTCGAGGACCGAAAATCGAGGATCGAGGTTCGAGGAGGAGGAAGGAGCGGGAGGACTGGGATCCCAGCCTCCACGCGCAGTTGCATGAGTTGCTCGTCCTTCTGGTCCTGGGGACCCGCCCACCCTTGTCTGCACGTGCCAGCACTGCCCCCCCCCTCTCCTCCTCTTCGTCCCCATCCTCCTCCCCCTACCCCCACCTCGTGTCCTGATCCTGCTGTTCCCCATCCCACCCCGTCCTCCGCCTCCTCCTCCTCATCCCTCATCCCTCTTCCTTCCGCCTTCGTCCCTCCTGTAGGTTCCCTCTTCCTCGTCCACCTCCTCCCCCTCCCGCTGCTGCAGCTCCTCCTCCTCCCCATCCTCCTCCCCATCCACCTGACTCGACCAGTTGCTCCCTCTCCAGGCATCCCTCCTGAGATCCTCATCATCATCATCATCATCATCATCATCATCATCATCATCATCATCATCATCAGCATCATCATCATCATCATCAGCAGCAGCAGCAGCGTCATGAGCAGCAGCAGCATCATCAGCAGCATCATCAGCATCAGCATCAGCATCAGCATCAGCATCATCATCATCAGCACCATCACCATCATCATCAGCATCATCATCAACACCACCATCACCATCATCATCATCACCAACATCATCAGCATCAGCATCATCAACATCATCATCATCATCATCATCATCATCATCATCATCATCAGCATCCTCAGCAGCAGCATCCTCAGCAGCAGCATCATAATAAGCATCGTCATCAGTATCACCATCCTCATCAGCATCATCCTCATCATTATCATCATTATCATCATCAGCTGCAGCAGCAGCAGCATGGTCATGAGCATGAGCACGAGCATGAGAATGAACGTGAGCATGAGCATGAGCACGAGCATGATCAGCCTCATCCGATTCATCCTATGCATTATCCTCATCAGCAGCAGCATCACCATCAGCTTCAGCATCATCAGCATCAACAGCATCATCATCAGCACCAGCATCATCGTCATCATCAGCAGCAGCATCACCATGACCACCAGCAGCAGCAACATCATCAGCATCCTGGGCAGCATCATGCTCACGACCATGACCACTATCATAATCGGGATCGACAGGATAGATATCAAAATTCCACTCGTCGCTAGCAACATGACTATCCTCGTCATCATCACCATCGTGCTCCACATCATCAGCATCGTCATCAACATCCTCAACCCCATCATCATCACCAACAACAACAACATCATCATCACAAGCAGCATCATCATCATCAGCAGCAGCAACACCACCACCACCATCAGATTCACAATCACTCATCATCAGCATCGCCGTCATCACTGGTATCGTCGGTACACATATGAACAGTACCAACCGCACCAGCATATCGTCAGCCGCAGCGCATCAGCATTAGGAACACCATCTCAATCACACATAATTACACAACCCTCATCATAGAATCACTTACCAGCGTCATCGCAATCGAAATCGCCATGGCCGTTCTCATCACAGGGCACCTCCTCTCCTGCTCCAGCCCACATCACGACGCACGGTTGATGGTCATGTTCGGCCCCTGCGGGCCCTTGCCAGGCTCCAAAACCGTCGAAAAACTTCCCTGGGCGAATAACTGAAACCCAGAAGAAGGAGGGTCCAGGCTGCGAACAAATCACGACGTCAAACCCATGCGCCGACCTCCTCCTCCTCCTCCTCTTCCTCCTCCTCCTCCTCCTCATCCCCCTCGTCCTCCTCTTCCGCCTCCTCCTCCTCCTTCTCCTCCTCCTCCTCCTCCTCATCCTCCTCCTCCTTTCTTTCCTCCTCATCCTCCTCCTCCATCCTCCTCCTCTTCCTCCTCCTCCTCCTCCCTTCTCCCCCTCCTCCTCCTCGTCCTTCTTCTCCCCTCTTTTTCTTTCTTCATATCCCGCCCGCCTTGGGCGGAAGTTGTTCGGCGTCGGTAGCCCTTCTGGGGAGAGACCTCCCTCCCACCACCCCCATTCACCTCCTCCTCCTCCTCCTCCGCCTCCAGGAAGACGACTTTCGAGGGCCGAAGTGCTTCAGTTGGTTAATCCTTCGGTGGGAAAACCTCCATCCCCCGTCATGGAAATCTGGCACCCGTTTAAGGAGGAGGCAAATGGTACTTGTGCCGAAAGCAATTGCGGAATCGCGGGGGCGTCACATGCTCAAGGAAACGCGGGCGCGTGACATGCTCAACTACACGCTGTGCCAAACATCTGCTATACAACATGCTGCAATTAAACTAGCCAGACCTGCTCACCCAGTCGGAGCACTACAGTCGAAAACCCCCTCTCGGATGATGAGCCGCATGTGAAGATGGGCGCAGTATAAACGACAAAAGTGACTGGGAAACGAATGGTTCTGCTCAAATAAACAGCGCAACAAAGCCGGGATTCAATCCTAGCAAACCAATGTGTATACCGAAACGATTGAAAGCATAACTGGCGCAAGCAGAAAACGAATGTGCTTTGGGAGTGAAAGTGCTGTCACAGAACACCGGGTCACGCGAGATGATTAGCATAATCTGGAGCTCAAGCTCTAGATCGTACTGTCGGATAACTGGATCTCGACTGCTCCTGAGCTCAAGCCTCTGGCACAACGGCTTGCGAAGAGAACCCAGACGTGGTTCGAGCTAACACTCCGTAGCGGGTCTCAGCTCGTGTATTCCATTAACGGGTTGGGAGTTAGTACATCGCATAGTCATGAACTTGTTATTACAAATCACATGTCTGATTAAAGCATATACAAGGTTCTCATGAGTTCCCACTTTGATGATTATGATGTCTCCTCATACCACTTCCACTTCCAATCAAACCTAGCAGATTCGGATGCCGCTGCCCTTCCCCAAGCCTCGCCTGCTTGCAATAGCAATGGAAGCACAGTCATCGATATTTATTAATGGGATACCACAGTAAACTGAAAAGTCCATGAGAACCACTTGCTGTCCTAAAGCTTCTGTGGCACCTTTCACCACTCCGTAATACTCCACTTCGTCACAAGATAATGCCGCCAGACTCTGAATAAACTCCACGACTTAATAATGAGTGATCCCTCCACGTATTGATTCCCGCGTTTTCTTGCAACGTGCGTAGTCTGTGTCACTCCGCACAGCTACCCGTCGGAAGAAATCCGTAGAACCATGAAGTAGGAAGGCTAATACAATAGATTGGAGTTGGGCCTGCCCAAAGAATTTCAAAAACAAGCAGAACATGGCGAATAGTGAGATAGGAAGGCGCATGAAAAACATTGGGATCTGGACATCCAGGAAGACCTGCTTTCAACGACTGGTGCGTAACTCCCTTGGTCATTGATACAAATACTGGTACCCACACCTGTCGTGGGTCTTGAGGTACCTGCATAATGTTGTAGATTTTCCCGTGCCCCTCGATTTGGGGCTAACATAGAGCGAGCGAGCTCCATGACTGAAAACTGTGTATCCGAACGGTCCTGCGCAAAAAAAATTGCCCGGGCCACTAAAGCTTTGCACTTCTTCATTTTATGACTTGGGAATGGGTGCTCGTCCTCTTCCTCGTCAAGTCGTTTTTCACCTGGGGTCTCGCACTTCACTTCATACTGCTCCAAAATCAATTCCTTGACAAATTTATCCGCGTGCCTTTGACCCGCCTCGTACCATGGCCCATCCCGGTTCCATCCCACAATATCGGTGCTCGGTTCTGCACGGCAAAGTTTGTGCACAGAGGACGGGGACGAACAACAGAAAGCAGGGGCGAATAAGATATGAACCTGGGCCGCAGACCCTCCCTCTCGCACCTCTGCAGGGAAAGGAGGAGTGGAGGAGGAAGAGGAGGAGGAGGAGGAGGAGGAGAAGGCAAAGGAGGGGTGCGGGCAAGAGCAACGCACCATGCTGGAAGCGTGGAGCTGCACCACGACTCGAGCACTGCCGAACCAACAAGAAGATGACAGGGGCCAAAATAATCCACCCCGATCGGATTCGAGCTCACGTACAGGAGCCAAAAAAACATAAACGTAAATTGTCGGAGGTCCAGGAGGATGTTTTGCATCGACATGAGCCCACTCTCCCTGTCGCCTGGAGCGCTCCAGGGGCGGCGCCGGGGGGCGCCGCCAGGGGAGTCCAGCGCTGATCCAAGACATCCGCGCCGACCTCCGCAAATATGTGTTTATGCTGTTATTCTCTTTCATTCGTCGACGAAGAGACAGACGGAACCGCATCGATCTGATGCGACAAGTCCGGTGGACCGCGAGAAGCGAGCAAGCGCAGATGCGCCCCATGGCGCCCGCGGGCCGAGTCCTCGGTGAGGCCCTCCCAGAAGCACCGGTGCAGCGTGGCCACCTCCGGGCGGCCAGCTCCGCTGAGAAGGCATATACTTTACGTAGCACGTTGCACGTGCGGGTACGAGCGAGGAGGCGGCGGCGCGGGCGAGCCGCCCCCCAAGTGTAGCACCCAAGTGTAGCCCGCCCCCCCAAGCATGTAGCCCCCATGTGCAGCCCCCAAATGTCCGCCACCGTGCCTTGGCACGTTGGGGCGTGAACGATTGCAAAGTGCTGCCTGGCAGGGTCTGTGCAAATCCCAACCATCCTGTGGTGTTGGGTCCTCGTTTTGTGGTGTTGGGTCCTCGTTTTGAAGAGACAGCGTCCCGCGTCCTGTTCCCGTCCTCTCCTCCTCCTTCACCTCTTCCCTCCTTCCCCTCCTTGCCTCTGCCCTCCAAGTCGTCGCCATCGTCATCAGCATCACAAACATCATCGTAATCGTCATCATCACCATCATCACCATTATCATCATCGTCACCATCACTACTATTATCATCGTTTTCACCTGGATCACCACCAACACCGTCACCATCCCCACCACTTTCGTCATCATCATCATCACCATCATCACCATCCTCATCATCGTCATCAACACCACCGCCATCATCATCAGCAGCATCATCACCATTATCATCATCGTCGCAATCGTCATCATAATCACCACCAGCATCATAAGAATCAGCACCATGATCATCATCATCATCGCCATCACTATAACCATCCTCAATTTCATCATCGTCACCATCCTCGTCGCCATCGTCGACATCGACTGGCGCCATCAAGAGCTCCACCGCCGAAGGCCCCAATGGCTCAATACGCATGGCGTACCCACACCCGGCTCGGTGCACCTGCATACCTTTCGAAGACCTAGTGGCACAATTCACGTGGCTTACCGCACCCAATGTGGCACACCCCATCACAATTTCCGCGGTCCCACAAAAGCTTCACCATAATCCCCAACGGCGCAATCCTTATGGAGTACCTGCGCCCGATCTGGCGCATTCCTCACACGTTTCGTGGCCCCATAGGAAAATCCAGCGAAGGCCCCCGCGGCACAGCCCACATGGCACACCCTCCCCCGATTCGGCTCACCCGTCACGCGCTTCGTGGCTCCCTAGAAGCTCCACCGAAGGCCCCAGTGGCACAGTCCGCATGGCGCACCCAAACCCGACTCGGCACATCCCTCACACGCTTCGTGGCCCCATAGGGAGCTCCACCGAAAGTGCCAATGGCACAATCCGCGTGGCGCCAAGATTTGCCCCGTAGGGTTCAGTACTTGTGATTCTGGTCCGTACACTCTGCGATCACCAGTCTCCCTTCTGCGATGTCAGACAGCAGACGTATCGCGTCTTCTCTACTCATCGGCTAGGGTTATTTGAGAAGCCTCTTCGGCTCTACTCCGAAATTATTGTTATATTTTTTTTGTTTTCAAACGTTGGTCGATACAACTATTCGGTGGAATTGTCGGAGCTGTTGCGTGGCAGGTGTGTGAAGATGTGTTATTTTCCCGTGCCCATTGTGTACGCTATGAGCCGAACACCTACGGACATCCTACCTGCCAAGAGGTGGCATTGCTACGCACCTCCAGGCCCTCAAGGTCGATGATTACTGCGAGGAGGTGGCATTGCTACACACCTCCTGACCCTGAAAGTCGATGCAGCACAACGGCAGCGAACGCGCCAAGAAAGACAGTAGCTAACCTACTCAGGTCTCCACATGACTCTGCTTCGCGGGGCAAGCTCCGTCCCACAAGATGAGAGATACAGGGGTTATCACACCAAGGTCCCCCTCGACAGCTACGCACGAAATATCACAGAAGCATTGCTTTCACACGCGCGCGCACGAACCACGAGCGGCTCCTCTTCATTTTGGCCGCTTTGCGGGCAGAGGGTCACTTTGTTCGCGGTGTCGGATTTGTTGCGCGCAGCCTGCGTACTACGATCGGCTGTCAGAGCGGCTCATTGCAAGCAAAGGGCAATCCGGAACTGCTGCAGAAGCACGAACGGGAGAGGCTTCGTGAATCCATCCGCCGTCTGCACTGGCACGTGAAGCATCGTCACCAATCCGCAATTTGCTGCCTCAGGACCGTCGCCTTCGCGCTGAGATGCCTGGTCGCCGCGAGCCCCCCTCTGTGGCCAGCTTCTTGGCTGCCTCCTTGTCGGCTGTGCCGTTGACCGAAACCGCGCCGATCTCAACGCCCAGGGGCGCCATGTGATCCCCCGCAGTCCTGCCGCCAACGCGAACCCATCACTGGTCGCCACGGGCTCGGCATCGCACACGCTGTGCACGAGCAGCCCGGTGCGGGAGGCCCCCCACGCGGGGCCCCCTCCGCGCCACTGTGAAGGGGCCCTGAGGCACACAAATAAATATACACAAATGAAAGGATTCTCCATATTTTCCTATATTTTCTGGGTTTCTGTCTTCCCCCCCACTTCCCATATCTTCCCATATTTTCTGAGGAATCGACGATTCATTGTGTCTGTGTGTTTCTTTCCCTCCTGACACTGCGCCACCGTGCTGGAAGGGCTGCCGTCGCCGGTCGGTGCAGCGGACGCACACGCGAGGCCGTCGGCTCCTCCGCCGGGACCCTCGTGCGGCACATGCGTGCGGCACAGAGCCTCGGCGCAGGGGTGCCGCGGAGGTGCCTGAGCAGGTGCGTCGCCTCGCCCACGGCCTCGTCGGGGAAGCGTCGGGTGCCAGCGCGGCTCCGTGGCCCGCCTGGTGAAAGCAGATCAGGGCGAGCTGTGGGAGAGCGCCATGACAATGCCCCTAACATTATCTGCGCCCTTTCTTCTTCCGCGCCTCGCCCACCTAGCCCCCGGCCTGGTCGTCGACCTTGATGTGTCTCCGGGCGCGCGAGCTCCGTCTTGCACGAGTCCGGGTCGCCCGTGAGCTTCGCGGGACGCGCTGCGGCCATGCCCCAGCGCTCCAGTGGCGGCCGTTGCGTTGTTCGCAGCCACCCACGGAGCTGCGAAGTCTCTCAAATGGTCCGTTTACTCCTGTACTGCGCCGTGCCTCCCAGTAGCCCACGAAAGTGGCAAACATTGCATTGTTCGCAGCCACAAAGGGAACTGCGAGGTCTCAAATTGTCTGTTACTCCCCTACTCCACCGTGCCCCCCGGGAGCCCACGAAAGTGGCGACTGTTGCACTGTCCGCAGCCACCCAGAGAATTGCAAGTCTCAAATTGTCCGTTAACTCCCCTACTTCGCCGTCAGGGGCCCACGAAAGTGGCGACAGTTGCGCAATTCGCAGCCGCCCAAGGAGCTGCTAGGTCTCGGCTCGGTCATTTTACTCCCGGACTCCGCCGTGCCTCCCAGGAGCTCACGAAAGTGGGGACAGCTGCACATTTCGCAGCCGCCCAGACAGGTGCGAGGTCTCAAATGGTCCGTTTACTTCCTCCCTCCGCCGCGCATCCCAGGAGCCCACGAAAGCGGCGACAGTTGGACAGCTCCAAGCCGCCCAGAGAGCTGCGAAGTCTCAAATGGTCCGTTTACTCCCCGACTCCAGCCTGCCTCCCAAAAGCCCACGAACTGGCGACAGCAACACAGTTTGCAACTGCCCGGAGAGCTGCGAGGTCCCAATTGGTCCGCTTACTCCCCGACTCCGCAGTGCGCAGCCACCCAAAGGGCTGCGAGGTCTCCAATGGACCGTTTACTCCCCGACTCCCGTGCCTCCGAGGAGCCGACGAACTGGCGACAGTAGTTTCACACTTCGCAGCCGCCCAGAGAAATGCGAAGTCTCAAATGGTCCGTTGACTCCCCTGTTCCGCCGTGCCTTCCACGAGCCCACGAAAGTTCGGAGGCACCCATGGGGGCTGCGAGGTCTCAAATGGTCCGTCTACTCCCTGGCTCCGCCGTCCACCCCAGGAGCCCACGAAAGTGGCGACACTTGCACAGTTCGCAGCCGCCCAGGGAGCTGCTAGGACTCGGCTGGGTCAATTTGTTCCCCGACTCCGCTGTGCATCCCGGGAGCCCACGAACGTGGCGACACTTGCACAGTTCGCAGCCACAGAAGGAGCTGCGAGGTTTCCAATGGTTCGTTTACCCCCCGACTCCGCAGAGCCCTCCGGGAGCCCACAAGAATGGCGCCACCTGCGCAGTTCGCAGACACCCAGGGAGCAGCGAAGCCTCGGTTGGTTGCGCGTGGCCCTGCCCCGTCGTGCCTCCGAGGAGTCCACGAAAGTAGCGACAGTTGCGCAGACTGCAGCCAGTTGCGCAGACTGCAGCCACCCAAGGGGCAGCAAGGTCTCGGTTGGGTGCACGTGGCCCCCGACTCCGCTGGACCTCCCAGGAACCCACGAAAGTGGCGACACCTGTGCAGTTCGCAGCCACCCAGTGAGCTGCGAGGTCTGGGCTGGGTCCGCTTACTCCCCGACTGCGCCGTGCCTTCCACGAGCCCACGAAAGTGGCTATACTTGCGCCATTCGCAGCCACCAAGGGAGCTGCGAGGTCTCAAACGGTCCGTGTATTCCCCGACTCCGCCGTGCCTCCCAGGAGCCCACGAAAGCGGCGACAGCTGCACACTTCGCAGAGACCCACGGAGCTGCGAGGTCCCGTCTGGGCGCGCGCACTCCCCTACTCCGCCCTGCCTCCCAAAAGCCCACGAAAATAGCGGCAGTTGTGCAGATCGCAGCCGCACAGGGAGCTCGCAGCCACCCAGTGAGCTGCGAGGTCTGGGCTGGGTCCGTTTACTCCCCGACTGCGCCGTGCCTTACACGAGCTCACGAAAGTGGCTATACTTGCGTCATTCGCAGCCACCACGGGAACTGCGAGGTCTCGAACGGTCCGTGTACTCCCCGACTCCCCCGTGCCTCCCAGGAGCCCACGAAAGTGGCGATACTTGCGCAATTCGCAGCCACACAGGGAGCTGCGAGGTAACAAATGGTTCGTTTACTCCCCGACTTCGCCGTGCTTCCCAGGAGGCCACGAAAGTGGCGAGTGTTGCACAGTTCGCAGCCGCCCATGGAGCTGCGAGGTCTCAAATGGTCCGTTTACTCCCAGACTCCGCAGGACCTTCCAGGA